GGGGGGGGGGGGGGATTGGTAGCAGTTCATAGACGTCTCTGTCTCATCACGACGTGCCCTGTCTCTTCTGTTGCTGGACCCGGATCAGGTCCAGCTGCTTTTTGCACTTCTGGTAGTACGTGGACAGACTCTTGTTCTCCTCCAGCAGCTTTTTGTGCTCCTGCACCAGACGGGACGTGTTCTGCTGGTCCTTCTCGTCTTGGTCCAGTTCAGCGATGAGCTCCTTCCTGCGCAGACGGGATATGAAGCGCTGTTATCTTTTATAGCGAGGGCTGCTGTTTTTTGGCCGCTTGTTTTGGATCGATTCAAAACTAACATGTGGAATTTATTCGACTTAATGAATTTAGTGAATTACTGCTCCGCTCGTTTCTGGAGCCTCCACTGCCTCACTTGAGTGGCATGAATCTGTATCATTATTGGTCATTTTTTACCATCTGCAGTGTAGTACACAACACACTTGTTGCAAGTCAACGTACTTTCTCTGGATCAGCAGGGCGATCTCCGTTTGCACCTTCAGGTATTCTTGGGCCATCTTGCAGTGCTGCTCAAACACAGCCATGGACTCTTTGGAGTTGGGACAAGGAGCGAGAGGCTGGAAGAAAAACAACAACACGCATGCTGCTGTTAATTGACGTCTGCCCACGCATGACGGCAGAATGTATTTATACCGGCTAGTCTGAGCAGTTAATAATACCCCAAACATCTCACTGGTGCTGCCAACGTGTATTTATATGCACATTCCACTTTTCAGACAGCATCATGTTTTCAGGGCTAATCCCTTCATAATGAAGTCATTCACAATGCCCTTCAACTCATCTTTGAGAGGAAAAGAGCGGCGCCGCAACACCACCCAAGTTAAAGTTGCGATCGGACAATATTTAAATGAAACGACGACGGTGTACCTGCAGCTGGTGATCCAGGGTGAGATAAGCCATGGGAATGGAGTTGTCCGAGCCGTTGGTGTCTGAGGAAAGAGAGGAAAGAGAAAAGAGTTGGTTTTTCTCTGTGACTGCACGGGAACGGCGTCGGCTGTTCCACCACCCTCAGAAATAACCTTTCTGACCGCCTCCTCAGCTCGGGCTGACCCGAAATCAGTGATCCAACACTACAGTGTCTCCAGTGGAGCCTGACAGATGTAAAAACATCTGGCCACAATGACACAGATGCTGTTACAACCGCCGTGTTTGCAAAATATTAACAAAATGCATGCCAGTCAGGGGGGCATTCACACTTCCATCTGTTTGGCCTTATGAAGACAAAAGAGGAAACACTTTTATGCAAACACATCATTTTGGCTTTGCAAGTACCTGTGGGTTCGTCGGGGGAGAAGTAACCCCTGCTGCTCGTCTTGTCAGGCATCATCCTCACACTCGGACTGGAGGACCGGCTGCTGTTCCTGCTCCCCTAAGAGAGGACACGAGACACCCGTCAGTCATCTGGCGAGCCAGTCACGGCTCCCGAGTGGCAACATGTGACCTGGGCCACCACAAAAAATAAAGAGTGAAAAACCAATAATGCCGCTCTAATCTGCTTATCATGCACATTTGGAGGCGTGGGCCAAATGAAGCTGAATTCCATTCATACTGGAGTACGTCCAGCCATCAAAGGGATGGTGTGATAGAATGTCATTGAAAATAAGGAGAATTCAAACAATGAACACTGGTCTAAAATGACCAAACAGACTGTTTTGTATGCAGTGAATCTGAGGTTAGTGTCTCTGGATCCAAACATGGGAATAGAATCAGAACAGTAACAAAGCAAAACTCACACAAACACACAACTCCATGATCAATGGCGCTTGTCACGCTACTGGGAATCTGAACAGGGAGCACGGCGCGATTTATCTTCTTCAGCGAACAGTATTTGTGTTCAAAGTCTTCACGCTGAACTCCAGATGAACTTCTGAGTGCACAAAGCTGTGGCTTTACATCCATTACAAATGGAGACAAATGTTTGGGAAAGCAGGAGAAACACTCCCGAGCCCCGGAGTCCGTTTGAAGCCCAGAGAGGTTTGAGAAAAAAGGAGCGCCGGGCTGTTCGTCTGACATATCAAACACGTGTCATACTCCGTGACCTCTCCTCCCAAAGGGGTTCTCTCTCTTGATAAAGAACGCTTCTGAAAGACGGCATCAGTCACACATCCACAAGGCTTCCGCGGGAGGAATGATGACAGCGGCAATACAAAGAGATAAACCCCTTTGGTCGGGTTCTGCTGGAGTTCATCCGAGCATCATAAAGCTTACATTTGAAGACGAGGTGTTTATTAGCTTCCATGTTAAATAATATTAAACAACAATGGAAGTGCTTTTGACATTGATTTTTTTTAAATAGGCTATGCATTACCCCAAAAATCTAAATAGCCCATGAAATAAGGAATATCAATCTCACATTATTCATGATGCATCAACAGTAAATATTTTGAGTTATTCTCGGTTTGTTTGTGTAGCGGGTGTGTGTGGCGCTGTCCCGGGTGCTGAAACGCAGCGCAGGAGATCGATAGACAGTCTCAATAAAGCCAAGTCTTTCATGTTGGCGTAAGATACAGTCTATGTATTCATATATTTGTTTATAGGCCTACATACGAGCAAATTCGTTTTTATGGGAATAAAAAGGAAAAGCCTTCAAGTCCCATTTTTGCCGTCTTCTTTCATTAGACAACAGCAAAGCACAATAGAAGTTATTAATGACCACAAGTTTGAGGAAAGTATTTTTTTTTGTTTACAATTACACATGCCACGAGAAAAAAATAAAATAAATAGATATATACATACACATATATATATACATTACCGCAGTAACTGTTTTCATGTACTTTGACACGAGCGACAGAGGGCCACATGCCTCCTTCATTCAGAGAGTAATTTAATTTAGATTATCTTTGAAATATAACCGCAGCTACACCGACCCCTATCCGCTCTCGATCCCAACAGTGACCGTGTCTTACCTGGCTGGACTCTGTGCCGATGCCTGGCAGATCCTGCACGGACCGACGTCTCTGAGGCTCGCATGTGGCTGTGGACAGGACGGACAGGGGGGGGGGGAAGCTGCGGTTATATTTCAAAGATAATCTAGATTAAATTACTCTCTGAGGGGGGGGGGGGGGCAGAGAGTGAGACCCCGGCAGAGCTAGCAGACAGCGATGTTTGGTGCCCCGGGGACAGCTGCACTGATTTAACCCTCCGTGTGCTGGCCCGTCTACACGGCGCTGTGGCACGGCCAGAAGGGACGGAGGCTCTAAAAGGCACCCAGCACTTCTGACGGTGCACAACGAACACACACACACACACACACACACACACACACACACACACACACACACACACACACACACACACCACCGTAGACTAAACCTACCCACAAACACAATATACAGCATATAACATAGCACTCCCAGGTTTCACATAGCAATATGCAACACGACTATGTCATGTGTATTGGGATTACACGTTTTTTACTCCATAGTCTGCGCATTTCCCAAACTTTACATGACATGGGACACATCAAGTTGATTTCACTTACTCACTGAAAACTAATAGAGTGACTGGGTTTACCTCGAAGCTCTGTCTACGACACACTGAAGGCAGAACACATTAACAGACAAGCACACTGAAGAGAACACAAAGAACTTGTAGGACAGATTCGGCCTCCTCTGTTGTTGTTGTAATACACTGAGTGGAACTCGCTACAGTTATTTTTTTTTGTGTGTCACGAAACTGAATTGAATTTTCCTGCTATTGAAAAGTTTTTGTACCGTGACCTCATACCTGAGATATATACCGAATGGTGAACTTTGTATAGCGCTACATCACTACTCAATGGCTACCAAGGAGTTATGACCTCGTGTACACGAGCACTATGTAATAACATGCATCAGCTGACTCCTTTAGTCACCGGATTACATTCAACATGTTTCAAAATAAAAGCCCTTTTTTTCCTGAAATCTAGAGCTGTCCCCATTCCTTTCACTGGTACCTCTGCTTGTAATAATAGCTCTGACCCTCAATGCGAGAGGAATTAATCAAAAGGAGTTTTTTTCCAAAGTTAATGGATGTTAAGAGAGCAAGAGGGGGGAGAAAAAACCCACCAAAAAAAACAACAACCCACCAGCCAAGTCCTCGATGCATGAAAGGCAAGGACGAGCTGAAATGCAGAGAACTGGAGCACTGAGTTACTCGTGATCTGCTGCAGCCAAGCCAGCGAGGAGACAGAGAGGATGGGGACGTGAGTTAAAGGGTTCATCTCACCTGTGTCAGCCCAACGGATCTAATGATTGGATGCCCTAGAGTCAGCTCAAAATGTGTCGTTATTGACACAGGTGACGGACACTTAATGAGCTGGAACTAGATTTTGGGTGTAACAAAAAAAAAGTGACACCAGATGAGGATATTAACTCATGTCCCGCTTCTGCCAACTGGAAAATCACAGAAGACACAGAGACAAAAAGGCAACTCCGATGTGTGTTACTCCAGGACCGGCTCAACTGACCCTTTGCTAAGTCCCGCCGCTCGAAAGCGGACCGGCCAACCATAGTGTAGCATCCGCCAGAGTGATGTGGTGGGACCCTTTTACACTGTGATCTGTAGCATTAGCTTCTATCTTTAAATATTCGATTATATATATTCATGGAGTGCAGTTAGTGACAGTGTGGGCTCCACGGTAGCTCTGACAGCTAGTCAGACTAGCAGCGGGGGGCGGGGCTTAGCAAAGGGTCAATAACATCCTTTTCTTAAAAATAGAGACTGCCCTTAACATGCAACATCGTTAATATGAATGAACATTCCGCGGTTGGTATCATATGGAGTGACACACACAGGAGAGAGCCCCGTCAGAGAGCACAGCAACCCACAACAGCCAAGCCAAGCCAGCTCCACCCGGTCACCAGGAAGCCCAGTGGCCCCAGAGATACCTGTGACGACGATCTTGGGGACATCCAGAATGGTGCCGTACGATGCCGTTTTACGGTGGCCTCGTTTAAACTGCGGACGTGCTGCGAAAAACACACACATACACACATACAGCTGCGAACACGACAAGCATGCGGACTAAGACAGACTGGGTGGGTGGGTGGGGGGTCCCACGGCAGGACTGTGTGGAATCGTGGGCCACGCACATGCAGAGCATACAGTGCACGTGCACGAGCAGCATGCACGTCTGTTTCCAGACGCTGCTTTTTTCGGCACAAACGACAGCGGGGCGTTCGGACACAGAACGTCGGTGCTCGAATTACACGAACTCCATTCATTAACGTTGCATCAAAGTGTGACAAAACTAAAAGAGCAACAACAAAAGCCCTGACATACTCTCAAATGTAAATTCCTCAGCACTGGTGAGTCTGCTGTCTTTCTGCTGCCTTAGCGTTCAGGGGGGACATGGCTGTGTTTATATGAGGAATCAATCTACTCTATGTGATGAAAGCACATGAAAAATAAACTGACACAAAGTGTCGTGGGAGGAGTTTCTTGTGGACTTGGGAGAGGCCTCATTCCAACAAGACTTGACAATAACACTTGCATGCCTTCTGTGCAACGTTTCTTATTTAATTAGAACATTCTGAACCTCATAAGCGACATGCCCAATTTGCCTCGATGAGCTCCTCTTCCTGCTTCCGTGTGCCGTGTAAATGTCTGGCATTACCTGCAGGCGTAAACGGCATCTTGGGCTCCAGCTCCGACAGGTCGGCGCTCATTCTTTTGCTGTCCGACGACGCCAGGCACTGCGTCCGTGCGGGCAGACTCTCAACGCTGCCCCCCCTGGACAGAGGCAGAGTCCTCAGCGGGTCTGCCTGAGGGAACCAAAGACAAACCGTCACTACAGGAGCCTGTTTGGGACAATACTTAATCATACTGAAGAGTTGGTTTACCTTTGGCTTGAAGTAAGGGGCGAACTGAGGCGTGATCTTGATAGTGTCATTGCTCCCTTGAGAATCACTGTGCTCCATGTTGGCATCGCTTTTGCTGCTTGTGCTGGTGTAGTCCACGTAGGAACCTGGCATTCCCCGAGACGCAGGACAGGAGAGAGGCTTTATAGCTTTCATAATTTCTCAACTGTAGTGCCTTTTTAAGATTTTACAATGCATTTGCTGCTTATATTTGGTGTTTCACAACACTGAAAAAACATGTGGAAAAACTCAAAATAATTCAAAAACATTAAAAGACAGAATTTAGAAATGTAGGAGTCTTGCGATACCAGACAATCACAGATCTCCACATACCTATTATCTGGGGATTTAAAAACGCAAAGTTGAAAAACTTTGGATTTAGAGAGGCCAATCACAACCCCTTATCTACATGTGTGCGTATACCAGCAGCATTGAATGGCGGCAACAGTGAGTAAAACATCTGTGTGCGTGTCTGCATCATGGACAGCCGTGCAGTAAGTGCCGGGTACTGCTTTAACATCAACTTCCTGTGCTGGTGGGACTCCCGTACCTGTGCTAGTTGGAGAGTTGCTCTGCCCATCGTCTGAATACTGGTATGGATATTGCAGGGGTTCATCAGATCCTGGGAAGTACTGCCAAAAGAAGAAAAAAAAAAGCTTCAATTATGACTTACATTCTTATATTATGTACCTCTTATTTGCGCTGTTATTTGGGCAGAGATGGCCTGAAAACATCGGTTTCGGTTCGGTTCTAAATTGGACTGTGGGTTAATTTGTAGTGCGAAAGCAATTAAGACCAACCACAGGATTTTGACAGTAGATGTGTGATTTTTAGCTTCAATCTAAAAGCTAAACTACCAGTAAACATATGTGCTGATGGTTTACTGTCAAGAAAGGAAGAAAGAAATCTTCTAAGGGCACTTTCATAAGCCACAGTGCTTGTTTTCTCATTTAGTCTGGCTAGAAACATTTTAAGATTAACGATAGAATATAAAAGAATATAAAATAAAGTGCACACCAAACAGATAACAGTACTATAAACAAGTATGATGAAGTGTAATGTAAAGTGTCAAGTGTGTTTGAATGAATAAACAGAGAAGGGATGTGCAGGGGAGTGACCCGTAGGAAATTGTCAATATGAGGAGCCAGGCCGCTTTCCAGGATGACACAAACTCTGAATCAGCAAATATTCCTCCCGAGCTGCTGGAGTGACCGCATCACGAGTTAGACTTGCAGGTAATGACGTGCTGAATCAAAGTTCAAATATTTATATTCATTAGGTACCTACCTAAAACTACTGCTACTATTTGAATTTGCTTAAACTGAGACGTGTTGATTGAACTGTACGGTCATTTTGGAGGATGTAGATTGCAGTGCTGCAGGAATGAGTCAGAACACCTCGAAATGAAATGATTACTTTTATCCACCCCATTCATATCAATGAGGGACGGCCTACTGACAAGAACACCTCTCTGTGGAAAACGATACAGTGTGTACTGTAACTTTATGTCGCATTCAAACTTTACCTAATCCCGTTCATCCGCTCCAGTTTAATGAAAGCCTGGGAGAAAAGGGGGAAGCAGATTACCTTCATTAGATGAGTCATGATCTTCACTATCTCCTCCATGGAAGGCCGCTGAGAGGGGTCTTTAGACCAGCAGCGGGTCATCAGGCTCTCTAAGGGCTTGGGCAAATTATTGATTAAAGGAGGTCTTGTGCCTGAATGTGTAAGAAAAGAAACAAAAAAACAAAAAACAGTCAAACAAAGAAACAACATTTACCATCACACCAGACATAAATATTTCATATTTATGCTAAATCCCCCGTCTCCCGCTGCACCAACCATAATGTCTCAGGCAGGCAGATTCAAATATTAAACCTGTGGCCAGATGTTATTAGTGTCCCATTAGTATTCTCCCCCCATCCATCTCCGCACGAGCACAGGTGAACATGCCTTTCAGCTACACTCTCCTGCCAGGCTCTTCATACTCTCACAGTCTCCCAGCAGGCCTAGCGGGGCGGGCACGTCTGAAGGCTCACAGCAGCTGACAGCTGGACATGGCCTTTGCATCCTATAGCTCCTCCACCCACCCACCCCCCCCCACACACACAGTAAGTGACTCACCGTTGTGCACGGCCCACATAATGCGAAAGGCTGGTCCTCCGATTTCATCGAAGGGCTTCCTGCGAGTGATCACCTCCCAGAGAATGATCCCCCAGCTGAACACGTCGCACTTCTCGCTGTAATTGCTGCCTGCAACGTACATCAGAAGGCACAGCAACACTTAGGTCCTCTTCAAACGGGGCGGACAGGCTGCGTTTGACATCACTGACTGACTTGATAAAAAGGTAATTCTCCGTGGCACGTTTGAGATGAGAGAGAGGATGAGCCAGAGAAAGCACAGCAGCTTTTATCTCATCTCTGCTTTCACTGGGGAGGAGGAGGAGGACGAGGAAGAGAATAAGGGAGCAATTTTTTAACCGAGGAGCGGCTCCTGTGTTGCTTAATTACTTGGCCTATTATTGCAGAATTTAAGTGCACATCACGCACCTATTCAAAAAGTTGCTGTGTGGGTAAAGCGGATGCATATTAGTTGTAAAGAGTTCACAGAGAGGGCAGAAATGAGTTGTTTAATCGCACTGGAGTCTTGTAAGTTGCCTCCAAAAACAAGGTAACGGCCAAGAACCTGTCCCATCATGTAGAAGTACATTAGGCTCCTGGCTGAATGAGAACACACATTTTACACCGTCATCTCCTGGGGGAAATAAAGCCAGCAGCATCACTCCATTCATCGTCTCACTGTGCTTGGGAGACCACCATCAATAGAGCAGCAGAGTCAGGCTGCTGATGCTGACTCAAGGGTTAGTGCCACGATGCTGCAAGCGCTAAGCTGCCATTCAGGTGAATGGTGACCGGGCACAGGTGGGTGCAAGAACAAAGCATATACAAATGAGTGAGCTGTCGGGATGGGAATTCATGAGATTTATCGATTCTTTATTGATTCCGTTGCTGATTCAGTGTAATCTGTCAAAGAGTCTAAATATTATCCCTTTACTTTGTTATTGTCATCTATAGTGGTTGTTTGCATAAAAAACACAAAATTCAAATGATGTACTGTAATGATGTCAAATGAATAGTTGTATTTATATTTAAATATTTGCTTTAATGAAAAGAAAAATCTTGGTAAATACTTTCAATGATTTAAGCTGCTCAGAGCTAGTTTTAGGAAGTTAAAACAGGTCAAGTTTTACGGCAATTTACAAGATAACACGTCATGATCACGTTATAATTTACATTCGCCTAATACTAATTTCTACCAATCAGAGATTGAACCCATCATAATCATTGTAACCTCTGTTAGCATTAGCTGCTAGCATTGTTATTTAGCCAAGCAGGACTGTGCTGCGCAGAGGCTGCTAACGGCTAACAGAAACAGCTCTCCTGCTGAATTCAACACAGATTAGTTGTTTAAGATGTTGCATCAGCTGGGAAGAAATAGGGTGCTTCCCCTCAGAGTAATAGCAACTTCTCTGACAGTTGACAATGATGTTGCACATCACTAAGAGGAATCAATTGGCTCGGAGATATGCGATCTCAACGAATCAGACAAGCACTCAACGGGAACAAGTTCTCAAATCCTGTCCCTAGTGAGCTGGTTTCATTGGCTTGTGGTGATTCTGTGAGCATTTACAGAAATCAAACAATATACACTATTTAGATAAAAAACAACACCTAACAGGGCAGGTATCCAAAGCTCTTCAACTACTTGGAATGCCACTCATACTTGCCTTCAAATACCTCTGGGGCCATCCATGCTGCACTTCCTTTGTTGTTGGTCATGTGGGTCTGAATGTCACATGCTGTTCCAAAGTCACATATCTTCAGCACAGTGCCGCCTAACACTAGAAGCAGACTGGAAGAAAAACAAAAAGAGCAAGAAATAAACTCTATTAGATGCTGACAATGCTTTGAACTTGAAGTAATCAATTAAAAAAATAAATAAAGTTAACTTTCGGAGTTGTTTGAGTAAAAAGAAAAGGTGCTGTAATAAAAGAGTGCTATAACCAGCGACAGGTACAACGTACACACAGTGGTTTCAAAACTTTTATACTTCTGACGTCTTCTTTTTTCCCCAGATTGTTTCATTTAAAAGCTCTGAGCTCAGAAAAAGGATCCTTTTAATAGAAATACTCTGTGTGTGTGTGTGTGTGTGTGTGTGTGTGTGTGTGTGCATGTATGGAAATATGTTTCACGTAACAATATGAATATGCTTCCATCAGAAAAAATAACCAAATCCAAGCTTAAAATATTAATATTTTTTTAAAACAAGACATTTTTATACATGTCTCATTTAAATAAATGACAAACATTTAGTGAAAGTGCAGCCGTTTTTTCTTTTTCTTTGATATATGGCATCATAACTGTGTTACACTGCACAAACGTTTGAGTTCTCTCCACTTCCGCAGGACTTCAGAGTTAAATGGGGTTCAGTGTGTTCAAAATAAACACGAAAACTCTCTTTTAAAGAAGAGCTTGAGAGACAAGTTCAAACCCTGCCTACTCTGACACCTCTGCACACATCTGTAAAGACACAATAACCCCATATGTAAAGATATAAACGTTTACACTTCTGCCACACAATAATCTGATCAATTTCAAAAGTACAATATTTGTTGAACATGAAGTAAATCAAAGAAAAAGGGGGAAACCACCGGGCACTTTGCTGGCACAGTGAAACAGGAGACAAGAGAGTGAGGTGAGGAGGAGCATACTTGGGTGGCTTGAGGTCCCTGTGAATGAGAGCCTTTGGTTTCATGCCATGGAGATAGGCCACGCCCTGGGAACACTGAAAACACCAGCTCATGGCATGGGAAGCAGTGTAATAGGGGAGGGGTTCAGCACCATGCAGCACTGTGGACAAGAGAGCACAGTCACAACCACCACCACCACACACAATGAACCTACAGAGAGGAACCACGCAGGAAGTAGGGCTTCGAGACAGCTCTGTTCCAACCAAGAATTTCCTGGGTATTTTATTCCAGGGACTACTTTTCAAGGAACTTAAAAATTCCTTTCATCCCATTGTTGTCAGCGTTTCCATAGCGGTCTAAAGATTAGGTCAATTGGGAGTTGTTGTGTTTCAAAAAGGGGGCTGAACACAAGGCTAACACACAGGGCTGAACGACTTTCTCTGTCAGCGTTTTCCACAAGTTTATTCCAGGTGGGAAAACTGAGAACAGATTGTTCAAAATCAGCATTCACAAGGCAATATGGCGCCCATAGGGTAGCCCCCGAGAGTAACTCTGATAGAGATTCGGTAACAAGGGAGGAGAGCTTATTGTGAAGTGTGAAGCGCAGCGTTTCACACTGTGGGATTCACATCCTGGAAACAACAAAAGCATCCCGATTCGAAACCTTTTGGGAATAAAAGCCGTTCCAACCACTGATGCCCTGGGAAAGCAGATAAAAGGCCTATATGCTCACGAAACACGCACGCCAAAATGTCGATAATAATCCCTCACTGTAGAGGAGCTGTATGTACAGCAGGTCACATTGAAAGCAGGCCTGGGGGCTTGATTGAAACCTGTCAACGGTCCGACATCTGCTCACATTTCTTGACCCCATGTAACTTCTTTTAAACGATGTCGCTACATTCTCAGACCTCAACAATCGACTGAGTTATTATTACCAATAGCTATGATGGTCAAAACTGTCAAAACAAGACCCAAATTGCAATAAAAATAATTATCCAAGTGCCAACCAAATTCTGTGAAATTTGAGTAATACATTTGGTCAGCTTTAGTGGCCCACATCCACTAAGTTAAACTTATTAAAAACATAACATAACAGTCATGGGGGTCACGTGCACACAAATTCTATGATGCTGAACTTTGCAGACACATATGTATCTTTAATAACACATTATAACATTAATGCATATTGCTGTTTGTTACAGCTCCCTATTTCCCAGGTCCGTTGGGATATTAACTTGCAGGGACAAACAAGGTTGTGCCGCATGTCACTGTGCAAAGACTAGATTATCAAGGAACTGGGACAAACGACTGAACATGCAAACAGTGGGAGGGTTAAAAACTGAACAGGGCTGCTTCTCATGTCTGTGCAAGGCTGTGTTCCGTTTCACCACTAGCAAAGGTGAGACAAATACAGCCATCTGTAATACAGCAGTGTGTCGCTCAGCAGTATGCGTGTAGACTCACCATTGTACAATGACCCGCCTTCAGCGTACTCCATCACAAGGCAGACCTGAGAGGGAAGAGGAAAAATCATCAGAAACGCAACCAGAGAGATAATAGAAAACACACAGGATCGTACTGGGACATGCCGTTGCTGGGGAGTCGAATCGTCGATGTGGCTGCGCGGTTAAGAGAGCGTGACATGTAATACAAGTCCAGCCAACTTACTGGATTATTGCAAGAGCCGTACAACTTCACAATGTTGGGGTGATTCACACGCGAAAGCTGCCGGAGCTGGAGACAAAGAGGAAAAACGTCATCTGCATGCATGCTATTTAATACTTTCAGCACACAAATATGTATCACACAGGCTGTCATTACACAAACTCTGTCCCACTAGAACTTGACAGAGCGTGTGTGTGTTTGTGTGTCAACTAAACATGTTGCAGTCGTGGGGTAAAGACAATCACAACAATACCTCGACAATAAAGGCTTTCCTCTCCGATTCGCTCTCGATGGTCTTGATCGCGACATCGTTGCCTTTCCATTTGGCTTTGCAAACAACCCCAAAAGCTCCTCTCCCCACCACCTGAATAGGGACAGTACATCAGAAAGTTAACATTACTCCAAAGTAAACGTCAGCTCCTTGTCTTCTGGACGTTCATGTAGAGCATGAGCGTTTGGTCTTAAGTCGGTGTCAGACCACAAAACCAAACACAACCCACCTCCTCGACTTCAATATCCTCATAGTTGATTTCTTCAAATGGATATCCAGGAGGTGTTTCAAGTATATCGACGGATGGCAACGTTAGAGACATTACTAGCTAACGTCAGCTAGCAGCTTACTGAAAAGAGCAAACAGCAGACAAGAAGAACACATATGTTGACACCTTTTCACAGTTAAATTGGGCAAAAGAGAAGACTTGCTTCAAGACATTTAGCTAGCTACCACAATGGCACAATTGTAGACTAACTTGTCGTCGGCCAGGGACGTGGCTAAGTAACATAATGAATAACGTTACGGTTAGCTTTAGCTATACTTTAAAAGGGGGCCACACGGTTGGTTACACATCCTCTCAAACAAGATTCAACGGCTTAATGTTAGCCTCCTGTCAGCTAAGTTAGTGTGATGCAGTCAACCAACTGGCTAACCGCGTAGCTTAGCTAGCAGAGCGAGCTGTAGCTGCCCCAGCAAAAACTGTCACTGACACTAAAGAGTACTCAAAGTTAGCTTTTGCAACGTAATACGGGCCTATAGCATTATTATAGACTAGTGCTGACCACATTTAAACAGTACCATACAACATTCGCGAGTAAAAGCAAGATACTTAAGGCCTGCAGTATATTGGCTAGCCAGTTTGCGCTAGCTGGCTAGCCTGGTTGCTAACGCTAGGTACCGGGACTTAATTAGCTTTAACAATCCAACCCTTCGCAGTTGTCTTGTCACCAGTGCCGGTGGCTCTCTGGACATGGGGATATTTTCTGCTATTAATGTACAGAAAACCGAGGAATGACGTCCATTTTTAAAAATAGCCTTTCTCTATCCACTTGACAGCCAGACATAACTTTTTCACAACTCGTCTAGCTGGCTTTGCTAGGAGTGTATTTTTATTCTTCGCAGGAGCAGCTCCATCAGGAAGTGTGTGCGCACTGCAATTGTGTCCCCTGCACACTGACCAGGAGACCTCATTCATTAAAAAAGGAAAGGCTCTCGTTCATATTGTAACTTTTTTTTGTAACTTTCAAATGTAACTGTTATATACTGCGTGATAGTTTAAGCTATAAAAAAGCATCATATTTTTCAAGATGATTATTTGTTTTGTATGAAAACCGTGATTCAAAATGTAATTTTAATAGTAAAATATAGTGGAGCACAAACTAGAGTATTGCCCGCTGAATGAAACATTAGTGGAGTTGAAGTGTTAAGCAACACAAAATGGAAATACTCAAGTAAAGTAAAACTACCACAAAACTGTGGTTAAGTATCCTACAGTATTTAAGTAAATGTATTTAGATATATTCCACCACTCTAATCCTACGACAATTCAAAAGTTAATATTTTTGTTAAAAATGTTAGAAGAAAAGACAAGAGAACAGTCGCCTAACAAGTGATTAATTTAAGATTTATTCAAACATGATTAACATAATAAAGAATGGCTGGTTGTTGGCTTGGTTCTGCTCCCCTGGAGAACTGACTAACGGAGTTAAAGATGCATTGGCATGAATACAATCAAGTTACAGTATCAACATCATCAACAATGCAAGGACAAAGAATATTTCCTTTTAAATGCTCCTTACATGTGAATGCATCAGTATCCAGTGTGATAATGCATTATACAGTACTGACAGGGGCCTTTCTGCTGCCTGCTGAGTACTTTTACCTTTGATACTTTGACTACTAAAATATCTGAACACTTCTTTGTCATCGTTTGATTCTATTCCAGTTGTTGTAAGTTGTGTTTCTACTGATTGGTACAACTTTCTGTACATTTGGGACCTCTGTCCTTTTGAATTCCCCCTACCAAGGTTTTCCTCATTGTGTTTTTTCTTATGTGCTTAGATTTTTTTTTTTTTTATTATACTGTAGATCTCCCAGGTTGACTCATCTACAATTATTGCATGTCTCAGTGGGCCATTTAATATGTGATAAAAGCTAATAAACTTGACTTCTGACTTGACACAACCTGTTGATTCGCAGCATCTCTGCCAGTCCTTCTCCACGGACTTTGAGTTCAAGAGGAAGTTCTGCCGACCTATAATCTAACAATTTAGCCTCGCAAGGGAGACCCTCCTTGATCAGGCAAGTAAGTTACACTTATGTAACATCAAAATTTCATTTTGTAAAGGAGGGGCATTATATAAACACAGCACTTGACGAATGCTAATTACATGCCCCACTCACGGGAAGTAATAAAGCAGGTTCCCAATGGAGGCTTTCCAAACCACTAGGCAAGCACAACTCATACTAATGAGCACGAACTAATTTGTTGTGATATTGAACAGAGGGCTGTTAATAGCAGGAGCCATCCCTCTCCCCTGAAATAATTATTCTAATCACTCATTTCAAAGGTGATTAAAACCCTCTCACCTGGTAGTTTTTCTGGGGACTACGCCGGCATATGGTTTGGGACCTGCGGTCAACAGGAAGTTGACTCCGAGCTGCATAAAATCTTCGAGGATCCGGACTTGATGAAGTGCTCTCCTTCTGGAAAGGTGACACTTCACGGCTTGCAGCCGCGCGCATGCAGCACCATGAGGATATTGAGTCCTGCAATAACAAACACATTTACCAGCTGGGGATGGAGTTTAATGGGATGTTTGAGAGGACAAAATACAGCCGTCACCAGGGCTGCACAATGCATTCAGGCAGACCCTGCTAGACAGGGTTGCATTTATATGCCAATTTCCAAGATGCCTTTTATAATAGTGGAAGTCTTGGAAAAAGACGAGCAGATAAGCAGAATATTCTCGATGAGCTTCAGTCTGGTTTCTCATTGTGGCTTTTGACACTGGACTACTGTAGGCTAAAGGACCAGGTATGCCTGAAGTGACTGATGCTGGATAGTTGAGGGCGGTACTGATATCAATATGGCTCTCTCAGTCAGGAGTTGGCCTTTCATTCACTGATAACAATGCCTTCTCTTTTGAAAGTCTATCCCTACTAAATAACGGCCTTCTGCAGGCCTAAATCACCCGCAGGTTTTGGTAACCTTGGAACTCTTTCCCTTCTAGGGACACTTGCGAGACCTGTGCGATCCCGTCCAACAACATTACTGTCTCCGAGAGGCTGTGGTGGGCTCGGTTTGAAGATACTGGTATCATATGAAGCTGGAAGCCATTATTACCAACCGTGTCGTGCTTGTGACTAGCTTGTTAGGAAGGAGGCTTAGTAACGTTTCAAAGGCTGCATTGTTTTTGGTGAGGGCATAACTGGCAATTCCATATTCACAAGGGTCCCCTTGACCTCTCACCCCAAGATACATGACTGAAAATGGGTTTGAATGGTCCCCATGAGGCTCCCCCTCATAGACATGCCCACTTATTATTTTTCTAAAATGTGTATTTTAATATTACTGCACACTGTGGTCCCTAATCTTGAATTAAATAAAGCTTGTATAACTGGAAAGCTGAGACTCCAATGAGCCCAGTTGTATTCATGTGTGATGATGTTAGTCCCCATGGTGGCCATTTCACGTTGCACTTTTTGAAACTTGACATCACTGTTTAAAATGACCTGTTGTGACCTCGAGGGTAATCACAGCCTCATGAAACTTTACAACCACAAAGACCGAGGTCATTCAGAGGATGTATGTCTTTCCTAGGTTTATGGACATAAAGGGGGTTTCTGAGCCGTTTCCAGAACAGACATGCTCGCCATCCAATCACCAAAAAAATGTAATTCTTGCAGTAATTACCAAATGTCAAAAGTATTTGACACCAAATCTCTGTTGGTTTTTTTCCTACGGTGTTCCTCGAGGTGTTGATGTCTGAATGTGGTATTTTGGAGGGATTTTTTTGACATTTTTATGAATTCTCAAGTGAAAAAATTGTAAAAATTCACACCAAATCTGTTAACAAATGGTACTTCTATGTGGCATGTTGTTAACCTGCTATCTCCCCCTAAAGATCCCCTGTTCCCTCTAAAAAAGGAAAACAAATGGGTCTATGTGGGTCTCTCAGGTTTAAAAGCAGCTCAAGATCTACCTTTTCAGACGCGCCTTGGCTTCAAATGTATTTATTTTATCATATCAATATTTCTGCTCCAGAAGGGTGCTATATATATAAACGTACTACTTTCTCTAAACCCTCTGATCTCTCATGCACAGGAGGACTCAGCGTGTCATGTGTTCCCACGGCCACAGGGTGCTGCTGTTGTACTTCCCATGGATGAGCCTGATAGTGATCAATCACAGCTCCCTTCTTGTCCTCCACTTATATAAGAGCAGCATTTGTGTGCCGGTTATACACGGGAATTTCTCACAATTAGAAAGCATTCATTTATATTCTTATGTAAGCATCAGCACTATCCTGCACGGGAAATAATCTGTTTCCTCCGCTATAAGTCGTATGATTGATTATGGCTCACTCGTGCAGCTGATTAACATTTGTCTTGTGTTTATGGCTTTTAAGTGCTCCAGGTTGGCGTTATGGATACCCCTGTCCCCAGATAAGACTTACATTGTTTAATTATAGTGGGGAGGGTGGGGGGCGGAAAAAAAAAGACCCCTGTTTGCAGATATTCACCCAAATCATTTTCTATAAGTGGAGCAACTCCCACCGCTGCACCCCAGCGACAAGTAAACACCGTAGACACTGGGGACTGGCGCAAAAAGTCATTTTGCAAAATCATTTTAACTTCATCTAAATGCTGCGTTCACTTGCTGCTGGACTTTATTTGACGGATGAAGTGCGGCACCTGAAAAATAATCCCGGAGGCTAATTAGTATTAGTCTGAGGAATCGTTTCTGCAGCTCTCGCCCCGGCACGAATACCCAATAGAGAGTCACAGTGTGAATCAAAGAACTACACCTGAAAGAGTGGCTTAAACACTGTAGAAGGCCCTTGCAAAGACTGTAGCGATGGGACTATTACAGCAGAGGCATGTTCAAAGCTTAGGGTAGAGATGAATGCATTATTTGCCTCTCTGTTCTCACTTGAAGGGCTGATTTGAATCGCCACTCCGACCTCCTGTTCCTCCTGTTCACCAAGTGACAAAGTGGTTCCAGTCAGTCACAGTTGGTGGTGGCTGTACCACGGTACAGACCGACTGCTCGTCAGGGGCAGGGGGATGGGGGACGGAGGGGGGCGAAGTGGGTTACCAGCTGAGAATGACCTTTCTGTATTGTTCCACCAAGACTGGGATGCATCAGACTTGATAAGTGGCCATGAGAGAGGAGAGCACTGGGGGCCCCATGCTGCCGCCCCACGCAAACGCCAACCCTCCCTTGGTTCTCGTGTGGGATCATTTCTCCGCCCAGGTGTATCTGGGGGTGGGGGGGAGTGGAAGACCTTTTCATTTTGAACACTAATGCTACTTTTTGGGTGATTCTGTTTGATGTGCTGGAATAGCCTCAGACAAGTTTGGTTGTTATATTGAAAGTAGCAATATTTTTCACCTAATATTTAATGAGTTCAAAATATTGTGCCTCGTTCGGCTCATCTTTCAATATTTTCGAGTATGGAATTTACTTTTATCTAAAAAAAGGCATATAATGCTATGCTGATGTCGCATATTACATTTTGTTTCCCTAAATGATGGGCTGAAGCTTTTTAAAACAGGTAGAGACTGAATAAATCCGCCTGAGAGACTGTGAAGACCTTTTTTTGGGGTACTTTTTCAACATTATAAGAGGGGAGACATTAAATCACATACCTACAAATATCAATGATAACACAATAGTGTCCAAGGCCTAATTCCATTGGCACAGAGCAGTGCTCAAGCATTTAGGGGGATCTATTGAAAGAGATGGAATATAATATTTTGTCTGTTTTCTTCAGTGTATAATCACAAGAATCATTGTCTTTTCGTTATAATGAGATCTTTATACCTACACAGGGAGCGGGTCGTCTTCACAGAGTCGGCCATGTTGCACTGCCGTTTTTCTACAGTAGCCCAGAAAGGACAAACCAAGCACTGGCTCGAGATAGGGCTTTTCGC